CCGAATATGAACACAGCGTTTCCATGTTATGATATTTGAAAATACTTAGATATTTTATACAGTCATAAGATATTGTAAAAAAAAAAAAATGGTAATTAAAAACGTGTACACAAATACACTGCAGCTACGTCTATAGCACTATGTCTTTGTCAATCAGTTCAGCTACGCGAGACAAGAGTTTTTCAACTATGCGCAAGATAAAAAACATGGCTACCATAATATATTTTAACATATTTAGTAGATGAAACTATAGTGGTTGATAGATATGCCACGGCTCCAGGCCGCGGTTAATTTGTTATTCATTGAAAATTGAAACATATCGACTAATTTCAACAATTATGTTTTTATTATTTATGACTATTCCGTAGCCGTTATTTTTGCATAGTTAAGCTAGTCCCAACCATGCCGTTTAATCAACGGTTAATCAGAAATTTTAACCTTAACGTGCTTGATAACGGATAAAAAATGTACCTATTTATGTCAATTCAATACCTATAATAATAACCCACGGGTTTATGTGGGCTATGGAAATGCATCAACACTTAGCAGCGGTGAACAATACTATTTTTTTAAGCGTGAGGGGGCTCCGTAAACATAATTACTATGGACCACACTTGACAACTATATATTGAATGCGAAAAATAGATATATCCGTTGGCCATATCATGAAAGAGAATATGTTGTTATTTGTTTATTCCAAAGACATAACAACATGTTATCAAACACTGCAGGTAATATAATATTAAGGAAATTTATTAATAGATAATTATGATAATAATTTAAAATTTCAACTGATATTAGTTACTAAGTACATATCGTGAAATACAAATGTTTCTATTATTATTTTAATGATAAATCCTACATTTAGTTCTACCCATGATGTAGTTAAAATTACGTGCATCGTGATTCCATATATTTTACTCAATATCGACCAGTGGTTTCTCTCTCTGTGCGCGGTTCATGATTATCAGGTCTAATTTAAAACTTATAGGGTATAAGCAATGGGCCTATTCCTTAGTTATAGTCGTACTGGGTCAACATTCCTTAACATATGCTCTGATGGCTACGAGCACTAATATGTTCAAAGACAATAATGTGTGTGAAAAAATAAATATTGATACCTATTGATATTGATAATGTTGTCGATAGATATGAAATATGCATACATAAATATTATTAATGAATGCATGGCTTTAAAATAAAATATCGTGTGTTCTATTAAAACATTTTACTATCGGCAAATTGTAAGACTTAGTCGTTAGACGCAACGGTAGCAGCGCGCCACTGTCGTGGACCGATGCGTCAAGTTTCTAGTAAAATGATGAATGAACAATACATACAAATATTGTATTCGATAAATCACTTGTCTTAGTGACTTCGGTTGGAAGACCTGAAGAACAAATCCAATTATTTGTTTTCAATAAAATATTGTCTTATATTTCGAAACACTCGCTGTTTGAGTTTAATTATTTTTGTGTATTTAAGGGTAAATTCGTTTTTATGAGTAACCCGACGTTCTGTAGTACCCTACGGATGATATATACACTCACTTACTTACATACTTGACTGAATATGTGCTCGGCAGCCTGTGATCTTTTGATAGCAAGGTGTAATGAAATATAGAACGGTCTATTTGAAGCTTAACTGTGCTCAGAAATCTGTGGTCTTTTAGCTCAAGGCATTGGGATTAAGACTAGATAATAGTTGGCGTTAGAACACCGTACCTCAGAAAGACGTCGTATTCCCTTGCCAGTTAACTTAGTATAGTCAACTACTGTAGATTTCAGGGTTCGTTTTGTGGTGAATGCCATATGCGTTCACAAGAGCACCGTATGTATACGATAATGTTACTCCCACTACCTGTGTATTTTACGAATATTAGGGAATAGTCGAAGTAACTCTATGAGTGGTCAAGTACATCACTCCCATGATTTTATTTCTATTCGTCACAAACTCAAATATTTGCGATCGTCATGTGACTAGATAAACAACCAAATGACAAATATTCGTCACTTTGTGGTAAACGAACCGATGAATACCTATTTCAGAGATACGAAACTCTTCGACCTGTATCAACCTTACCGACAATCTGCGGGAAGGTAGGAATATCGAATATTCGTACAAGTACTTACTCCGTTACCACTACTTGACAAGTAGTGGCGAGAATAGCGAATATTCGTAAAATACACGAGTCGTGGGAATCCGGGTTATAATTTTATATGTTAATATATGTTTATGTAGTAAATATTGACCTCATAATAAATTACTATAGAAATTATTAAGAGTATATTTTTGTATTGTTATTAAAATTACGAGCTATTTATAATTATTAAAAATAATAATAATACGCCTTTATTTTGCAATAGAATATATTATACGTAGACATAACATACAGTTAAGTCGCAAAACCCAACCAAAAATCAGAGCTTGTAAACGGTTGAGTTAAGTGTCTAGCTATGCAAAGATAAAAAAATAATAATAATCAGAAACAAAAAAAAAAAAAACAATAACGAAAAAAACTTGAAAAGATTGCTAATATTTAGTTTTGATTATTTGCCGTATGGATGTGGAGTTATACAGGAAAAAACCCCTCTGCAGGCCATTCTGTGAAGGATAATTCTAGCCTTCTCTCCGAAAAAAAAAAGATATAAATTCTTCGGCTACGGAGAAGCGTTTATTTTTAGATTCCGAGCGAGGAATGTATTGGTTTTACTAAAATATGATAAGTGCGTGTTTTATTTTTCTGCTCTTTAATAACGATTTATATCAGAAAACATCTTGTTCCGATCGTTAAAAACAAATATGATATAATATAGAAGTGAATTCTGTTTAGACGTTATGCCAACGAAATGGTTTTTTGATATTTTAGATTTTGAGTTTAGCGAAGAATGTATTGGCTTTACAAAGATGTTTATTTTTTTTTTTATGTGAGCATTTTTCTATCAGAAAGCTTACTCCGATTATCAAGTATAGTAATTTTTCTGAAAGAAATGAATGTTCTCTGGGTGGTACTTTAAAGAGGACATTCTTTGAAATTCTCATTAATATTCGAAATAATGAGAAAAACCTGGTTCTTTAGATTAAAAAAAATTGAAAGATAAAATGTAAGGTTGTCATTCGCAACAGTTTTTATTTATTTATTGTCATTATTAAGTTTTTGTTGTTTTAATCTTTTTTTAAACAATCATTGTTGCCATGGAAACGTACATTTTTGTAATAATTTTGCAATAATATTATGACATATTGTTGACAAAGCAAACACTATCAACTGAACCCGCTCAGAATCGTTTTTTCTATAGCAATGGATTATCGTTGCTTACAGATATACGTTAAATTCCCGTCTGTATTCTACCTTCCCAACTTTCCCCTTACAACAGTGGCTGCACCCTCGTGTGAAGTATGTCCGTCCTTTTTTTTCGTTCTTTTCTCAATCACAAAAGAAACCAAAACAACGTCAGAGAACAGTATTATAGGTATTTAATTAACGCCGACGCCGGTTTTTTTCAAAAAAAGTTTCTTTTATTTTTATTGTAATTCAGTAAGTTAGTTTATATTGATATACAATGTTAAAAATGTTTTGGTCATTTGAGTCATTCAGTATTTTCTCGTTTTCCCCGATTTATATGGATACGATTTTTTTTTGACCCCAGATAATTTTAAGCACAAGTCCGGTTAGTAAGCTGCGGTCAAAACAGCTGCCAGATTACACAATAATATTAATTCGAATATTCGTTAAATTAGTCGGTTAGCTGTCAAAAATATTATGTAATGGCTGAAACGATATTCGAGATGACGCAGATTTTCGACCGAATGGACGTGACTTTATGGAGATTATGACGACTATGGTTCGCAATAGTTTGGAACTTTGCTGGTGACAAACAGTTTGACGATTTACGATTACTAATCCGGCCGGTCGGAGGGCAAAATCGTTCGGATGAGTATATTTCACATACTGCTAATAATATGAGTACAAATATGCGAATATTGTAAAACGGCTTAAATTCGGACATACTTGGCGCCGTACAGTCGCGTCAAAACTGTTTCCCCTGTACATTCTTGTCCTTCCTATAGATATTTACATACATGCATATCCATATATTCAATGCATATTGAAAATCCGTTCCCTGAATTTTTCTTTTATAAGCGTTTGAAGTCCACATTTTTTAACGAAATTAATCAAAACTAACCAAATTAGATATACAGGCTGTCCCATGAAGATATAAGACCCCGTGTATCTCCTGAGATAATAGAGATAATCAAATTCTGTTTTTTTTTATATATTTTATTCATAGGGGTAAGGACTACAAATATTTATATTTTAATTAATTTTTTTTTTATTTATAAAACAAATTTTAAAAAAAAACTTTATTTTATTATTTTCGGAAAATGTTGAGACAGCCATTCTGTAGAATCTATTTTTCTGAACATTGTAACGTATCACACATTTATAATTAGATGAATAGTTTTTAAGTACCAGCCGTTTTGAATTCTACCACATATTTGTGTGCTCCGGTGGTGTTAACTAGCGTACGAACCGTTCAAAGCTTGGTGCACAACTAAACTTGTGTAGCGAAGGTCCATATTCTTTTATTCAAATTACCGTTATTGAATGTCAAGATTATAGCGAAGTTATTTGCTTCCGTTATTTTGTAAATATTTTTTTTTTTTTAGTACCTACTTATGTCTGATGCCAAGGCGAGACGTCGTGGTCGGTCGCGCATAACGAACGCGCATACTTGCATGCGAAATAAATAAACGGTCGAGTATCGTCTTGTAATGAATATAAAGTTTACAAAACGATTAATAACGATAAAAATATACAACTTTTGTCTTTATCGCTAGACTATTGAAAACATTGTGATTGCAAACGCTGATATTCATATTATATCTACGCACCGAAAGCGTTTTCCGTTTAGGTTTGACTAATCGTTTTGTTTAAAACTAATTGTTTTCTGTCCGTTCCTGTATAGAATAGACGTTCCGGTACACGGGCCGCACACATGGACCGCGGGAACGGGACTTCCAATCCGGCGGGCGCGCACAGCCCTTACTGCGGCGACCTTCTGGTCGACGTGCACGACGTGTACTTCCACTATCACGGCTACGCCAGTCTGCTGGTGTGCGCTTTCGGTTCGGTGGCCAACGTGCTGAACATTGCCGTGCTCACCCGGAAGGAAATGGTGTCGCCGACCAACGCCATACTCACTGGGCTGGCCGTGGCCGACCTCATGGTCATGGTCGAATACGTGCCGTTCGCCTATCACATGTACCTCCGGCCGGCCGACTATCCGCGCGCGGACCGGTTTTCGTACAAGTGGTCGCTGTTCGTGTTGCTCCACTCCGACTTCTCCCAGGCGTTCCACACCATTTCCATTTGGCTAACCGTCACCCTGGCCGTTTGGAGGTAAGCGAAAAAATATGTTTTTCGTGTTCGAATAAGCCGGGCAAATGCGGCTTTCCTTCGCGTTGAGTTATCGTAAAATCAAAAGATTATAACAACTGAGCCTGGTTCAAATTAATTTTAAAATATAAACGAACTGGACAAACTAAATGGTTTCAATTTTTCAACGTTGATAATCTTGAGCGACGAAAATTGATGTTAGTATAGATAACTACGGATTTATGATATCATTCTGTATGTTCAGGTGTATACCTTTAAATTTCTTGCAGTAATTTTTCGTACAAAACTCGCGGCTTTTCATTATTATTCGTAAAAACACATTACTTCCAAAAGTATTTGTGTTTTTATATGCATACAGCTTGATTTTTTTTTATCGTGAACCAGACATTTTATCGGAGAATTTTAAACGAATTCGATTTATGGTTTTTTTAAATCATTGTGGAATCGTTTAAGCTTTATTAAAAAAAAATATTTTTTAATTCTGTACCCTCAATCAATGTACCTTAAATAAGGATATACTTTTGGTTTCCAAATAGGAATCCTCTTTTTGAATTCAGGTTCGAATGGAGAATATTTTTTTAGAAATTTGTATGTGCATAACACGAATACCAGATGTACCGTTTATGGATTATAGACAAGTTTAAAGGGTTTATCTATTTTGAAATCATACATTTATAACTCTTCTGCATTCCTCCGGTCTAAACTTTAAACTGTTTAACTCACAAACGGTAAATCTGATATTAGTGTTGTGCATTAAAATGTGTAGAAAAATATTATTTGAATCTGTGATTGAAAGGAAGAGTTGGTATTTACAAATTCACAGTAGATACTTATTTCAGGGGTAGTAGAGGAAACAAATTGAAAACAGTGTTAAAATTAAGTTTAAATAATTCCGTAATAATTAAAAAAAAAAAAACGGAAATCAAATTCACTTAAAATCCCCTGGGAAAATAGATAGTTTATGATAAAACAATCGCCTGTATATACGAGTATATACGTAGTAACGAAAATAAATTATTTATAGTTTAAAGTTGTATTATAATTTCCAAACGTTTTTATGACTGCTTGGGCGAGAATTTACAATTCGTTTGATTTTACAAATATGATAAAATGCCCCGTTAAATAGTTACAAGACGGTAAACTAATATTAACTATGTGACAATTGTAATTTACACAATACTTGGCAGTAATATAATAGTAATACAATTATGACCGAACTATTCGAATTTGTCGAAATTCATCGAACAAAATTAACGAACATCGTTTAAAGCAATTTAGTTTGAAAAATTATAAATTCAGTTTTAACTCGTTTACAATCATTTAGCAATCGTATATATACTATTAAATTTTGAGCGTAATTAAGTTTTACCGAAATGTGATGTTTTTTTTGTCGGACGACATTTTATTCGTTTTGTAAAAATTCGTCAATTTTTTGCAGGCCTTTATAAAAAAAATGTGGTGTTTTCGATTGGTGGTACTTTATTCAAACATTTTTTTAAAATTCTCAACAGTTCACAAACTAGATCATTTTTTTTTTTTTTTTTTTGATAATACCTATCTCTGGATAGTACTGTAATATTATGTATTGTCCATATTATCCGGACGAGCGGAACGGTAAAATTGACTTACCACAACGAGACGGTTCATATACATGCATATTATGAATATATATCATTATTTTATATAATATTTTTAAACCCGCAATGGATTAAACAACCCAGTGAAATGAAAGACGTAAAAAAAAAAAAAAAAATAATACAATTTAAAACCCAACGTTATTATAATATTACACGAAGGCATACCTATACAAAACCTACTCTATAAGTATACAATAAAAAAAAAAAAAAAAAAAAAAAAAAAAAAACAAAAAAAAAAAAAANTATTACGATACATGCATATTATGAATATATATCATTATTTTATATAATATTTTTAAACCCGCAATGGATTAAACAACCCAGTGAAATGAAAGACGTAAAAAAAAAAAAAAAAAAAAAAAAAAAATGAAAAAAGTACCAACAAAAAAATAAATAAATAATATGACGGAAACTCGTTTTATTATATGACGTCGCTTCCAAACCGAATTTAAAATTAAGAACGTCATACTGCATTATACACGGGCAGTTAGTTTTCGCGTGTAAGTGTATTTAATCGTATTTTCAAATAATAATTCGTCGCGAAATCTTCTTCAAAACGTCTTGAAAATGTCTTCGGAATATAATAATGCAATAATAATAATAATTTACAAAAGTTTCGAGAATTTTATCATGTGGGATTCGAGACAGCTAAAATAAATTGTTGGTGGGAAGTTTGAAAGTTTGAAGTTTTTCCCTTGCAGTCACATTCACTGTAAAATCAACAAAAATAAAATCAATCATCATTATCGTCATTCACTGTTGGTTTTTTTGAAACATAAGAAAAACTGTTAGGAATCTAGAACATTTTGTTCAAATAAAATATCAATCTAAGAAAAATTTAGCATCTTGACAAAGTTATTTTATAAGAAAAAAAACTAATCTTTGTAAAACAGTAATATTGCTTCTTCGGTACACTATTGCAAGTTATTTAATTTATTTAAATATTAACATTTCGTAGATTGTAGGCAAGCAATTCATAACCGCAACAAGTATAGGGATGGTGGTCAATTATGTTTGTTCACCATAAACCGTATACTCTGAATAAGTGAACTTTGTAGTGGTTTTTGTGTAATTAGCTTGACACGACCGGAAAGGTACCTACGGTCTAATTAAAATGCACTGAAAGCATAAATTAATATAAATTATTTAATCATATATGCAAATTAAATTTTTCTACGGTATACGGCTTGCAGTCCAATTTGATTAATGTGATAATTTGAAAAAAAATCAAATTCGTGTCTAGCGGCTAGTTGTACTTTAATTTTGTGATTTAATTCTTTCGAATTTTAGGTGGATATTTGATCACTCCTATGAGAGGACTTGGTAGAATTTTACCAATTTTATCCTTTCCGTTTACAAAATAATTTTTGCTCTACACATTAAACTGTTGGTTGCTTTACATTATCTCTTTCCATCAGTGGCACCAAATTATTGTTAAAAATCGATCACAAAATAAAACCATACATTTTGTAAAATATTGATAAAAATAAATTCTTTCGAAAAAATGTTTGGAAAATTAAGAGTTGTAGACAGGTTAAAATCTTCTGTAATTTAAATTTATTCTGTGAAGATTCAAAACATTTTAGGGGGGGTTAGCTCTCTTAATTCTCTAAGTTATATTCGTCTGTAGTTTGAGTAAACCTTTAACATTAGAGAATCAGGTTAGAGAAATAGAGGTTATTTTATTATTATCAGTATTAGATATACGAGGGTTTAAAATTTCAAAGCGGTTTTATTATTTAATTACGAATCTTTGGCCTCGATACTCATTGATTACGATACGTTTTCATAATACTGTATAATATGTATATATATATAATGTAAATATATTTTTATATGCTACTCGTAGATTGGATCCAAAAAGAGTTATTTAAGTGATCGGAGCCCCTTTTCGCATCTCATTATACTTTTAGCTTGTTTTTTATCATAAAAATGTACTTATATTATAGACATCTTCAAAATCGCCCCACCCTCCATTATCTTGTTCTGGATCCATATCTGTTTATATCTATAAGCTTATACGAAAATTGTTAACGCAATTTTTCTTCTTGCTTTTCCTCATATAAAAAATGAGTTTCAACTTGGATTTATGTTTTCAGTATAGGTATATTTTTCAACTCAAGTTCATCGCTACAATTCCATTAATTTTGTTTTGTTGTTTTTTTAACTCGTTTAAAACGAACTCGAACGAACAACAGCGATTTTTTAAAGGATTGCATTTAAAGGTCAAATTTATTGTGTGTGTGTGTGTGTGTGTGTGTATGTGTGTACGAAGAAATCGTGATACTACCGAAGTCGAGAAGATTAAGTGATCAATTGTATCGAATGTGCCAGTCTCTCTATCGTAATGAACTGCTGTATAAGTGTGCATTGATTGTTTCGCTTTATCATCGAAGTCGATTCTGTTAAAAGCCCGCAAATATTGCAGTATCGCTGCTTTTTTTTTCGACGAAATAAAAAATTCGTAACGTTTACACGACGAAACATTGAATCCGCGTTTTCTCGTTTTTCTCTTGATGTATGTACCAACCTTTGTAGGTTGTTTTTATTAATTTTTTTATCAATTTCGTTTGATTATACAACAAATCGTACAATTTAAAAAAATAATAATAATAATAACGTCGTCGTCGGTTTAAGTCGGTTCAGTATACGTAATTAAAGCGCAGTGCGACTGTTTTTTAAAACAATAACAAAAATAGTTGAATATGAGTTCAGTTTTTTTTAGCGAAATGATAGTATCTTTAATTGTGTTATTTACATTCTGCATTCGTGCGCATTGCTGAAAAATATTGAAAAACACTTATACACGGTTGGACAGATTATTTTCTTACATTTAAGTTTGAACAGGTCAAAACCGGTCTAATATCAAAACTAACAGTACACTAATGGTTTTGTTTAATGAAAATTTGCTGTCGTGATGCGTTCGTAAGACGGAGACGACAAATACACATGTATCGTCATATTAAATAACAGGACATCGAGTCGAGAAAAAAGAAAACGGTGAAATAAAGTTACAAAACACCAGGTGATGGTGCACGCGATACATTAATTTACAACTATAATTCGTGTGACGTCCACAAAATGTATCGATTTCATCGATTCGGTATATCGATAATACAATAATACATATACTCACGTCGTTAAAAAGAAAAAATCCACCCGTGCGTGAAATAATGTGTCCAGCCTTTAAATAATTGATTTCCACATGTCACTGAATTGTTTATTCTACGTTTTAGAAGTTGACGATAAGCCCAGGGTCAGAGTATAATGTGAGACCATCAACACTGGATCCGTTCCGCTCGAAACACTTTCCGAACCGTTATTATGGTTTTTTTTTAGAAATGTACAATATAATTCCCTGCACATTGCAATCCAAACAACCCATTAGAGTTAATTAAAACATTAATAATCGACGAATTGTCAATTTATTTTTCCAGTGGTTCAATAGTTTGAATAATTGCATTACACATTTTATGGCTCACGTAGAGTTTTTATTGTAAAAATGTTTAGTAACTATTTAATTTCTAATGCGGTAAAAACTAAAGGGTTCTTGAAAAAATCGAAAAATGACCTTCTTAATGTACCATTCCAAGAAAATTTCATTTCGGAAAAAGGTATACATTGTATGCATTAGATTAAGCTTTTGGTGTATACAATATATAAAATATAAACATCTTTTAAAAAATAATACATTCTTCGCTACACTCAGATTTAAAACTTGACAAAAATGACCACCCCAATGCACCAACTAGACAATAAATATTTTTTGAAAAGATGCTACACTTGATAATCATAACCAAATTGCCGGTAAAAAAATGATTCACAGATAGACAAAAACATAAAACATACATCACAGTAAAACAAATACATTCCTACGTTTTGCTTAGAATCTAAAAAAGGCCCTAGGGATTAAACTGCTGAAAATGTCAATAAATATCTCAAATAATAAAATAACATATCAACGGATAAAAATGCCGCTTTTTTTTTTAAATAACTTCATAACAAATTGAAATATCTGTCCAAAGAAATAAAAAAGAAAAAACTAAAACAATTTTTTGAAACAAGTATTAAAAATATTTTTAAATATATATTCAAATAAAATACCACCAGATGAAATCGTCCAAATTTTTTAAGAGAGAACAAAAAAAAATCATAGTACTTTTACTAACCATAAGAATGTTTCAGAGAAAGTCAACGAATTTTTGTAAAAATAATAATTTCTTCGTTGTATTCAGAATTTAAAACTCCATAAGAACGGATTACCTTAAGTTATTGATATATATTTCTAAAGACCGTTTGGCATTCATCTTCAAACGTAACCTACCTGGTAGTAGACCACTAATTATAATAATCATAATAAGTATAATCCTTCGAACGAAATTTCATTTTGCAGAATGCACATTTTTGGTTTGAAATATCAATAATAAACAAACAAATCGTCCGTTTCCGAAATAGTCTAAAATCCAATATTCTCAAATAGTTGTGGTTACAAAGTGTCCCACATCACTGCGAAATATTTTTTTTTTAAATATCCGCTAACAATTGTCATAAATTTCGAACCTATAGGATTATATTGATTTATAAAGTATAACAAAATAATTCATAACGACCGAGTCGTATCAATTTTGTGGAAAACTCTTGTACCACGTACCTATAATAATTTCACCGTGTTCCAAACTTTTCTTATTATGGATTTTTTTTTTTTTAATATACGATTTTAAATCTATAAAATAATATTTAAAAAGAAACATACACACACACACACACACACACACATACATAAAAAAATATTAATTTCATCGAGAAAAAAAAACGCACATCAAAAATGAAAACCGCATACGTCGGTACAAAACCATTATAATCATATATGATGTCCTTTATATCCGTTCACAATTCAAAAGCGAGTAAAACATTTCGACATTAACTTAATAATCGTATAAATTCACACATCGTATTTCATTATATACCTAAGTATACGTATTCATTGGGTTCAACGTAAACCGTTTTTTACGAAAATCCGATTTTCTGAGCGACAGAAAGTTTATAGAAAGTTTATAAGAGGTAAAATAATATCATCCATAGCTCGGGGGCGGGAAAAAATGTTAGTCGCCGGTTGTATAATACGGCAGTCGCTCGTAAATCATATACGATATTATTTAGATTGCGCAAAAGTACATAATATATTCTAGTGTATATTATCTATTTAGATGTCGAGAAATAAGAAACGTCTGGGAAATATTGAGATGAAAATTGTTATCACTAGAAAAAAAAAAAAATAGTAATACTCTGTGATATTACGTCCACCGCTCTTAAACCCAACACCGGAGCGACAACGTTTCCGCTCTAACGTGAGAAATAATTCAACGAGAACGCATAACTATTGAAAAATGACCTATTTCAATAATTTCCACCTTTAGGGTGAAACCTATCGATTAACCTAATGATAAATGTACACACGCCGTCAATAAATTCGATCCAGATAAATATAAAATAAAAATATCAAACGCATTATTCATGATGTTCGCATTCGCAGTTGATTATCAGTGTTGAAATCTAGATTAACAATGAATTATCTTTTATATTATCCAGATAATCAACAAAATTGGTAATCTGATGAATTATCTCAGATGAAAAATTGTGTAACCTAACTTAATCCATCGGGGTAAATAAATGCTAGTTCTATTTTTTTATTTCGAAAAAATTAATAAAACAAAATTAAAATGTAAAGTAATAATAATTTTCCGTGTTGCTTATTCACGTAATTTAGAATTCTACATGGCCTGATACGAGTTCTATGATCACAATGTGACGTTGTGTAAATCATAGTCCACAATTCGTAATAATTAAGCCCATACACACACACACACACACACACACACACACACACACACACACACATACACACGTGTACAAAAATATTCTGATTGGTCTTTGTCGGCTCAATTATAAGTATAGTTAACACCAATTTCCAAAATAGTATTGTTATATATTTATATAAATGTTACTGCATATATTAATCAGTGTTTCTTTCAGGCATATCTCCGAGGGGGNGGGGGGGGGGGGGGGAGGAGAAAGGTCTGCTCTCTGATTATATTAATGTTGTATATTATAAATTTGTATTGATAAAAGTATTGTTAACATAAAAAAAAGACTGTTTATCAGTTTTTTAATCCGAATAAATAATGATATATACTTTATCTGTATCTGGATAAACTGTATTCGATTATCGTTCATCTTCACCTAGATAAATATTTAGTTATCTTTGTGCACCACTGTTGATTATACTTATATCCGAATCTTGAAAACCCGCGTTCGTATGTCACTATATCGAACCAATATTACTTTCAAAACGTATATGGCCGCAATAAAAGTTTGACATTTCTTCAACCTTTCCTATACTGTGGCCATTATATAATATTTGTCGACACAAATGTTCACGACGCTACATTGTGTTTCACCTGTAGTCGATTGGTTATAGCTTGTCATCGTTGAGTACAAAATTTAAAAAACAATTTATGAGTACATCGATATTTTTCTCCGTCTCCGTCCCTCATTGAGTAGTTTACATGTCCCGCATCCGTTATCATCTACTACCCATCACGCCTTCCTATTATCTCTCCTAATAACTTCTATAGCCATTTTTCCTTCTCCCTATTCTTAAACCGTTTATCTTCTAGTTTAATTCATCTCCTCTTTTAATACTATTTTTTTGTTGCGTATGACACGGTATTGGTGTACAAAAGATAAATAAAATATAACAAACGGAAATAATAGCAAAAGTAATAATAATAATAATACACACATGGATTAATACAAAGAAACAAATAAACTACAATAATAGCGATAACAGTTATACGTACACAGTGCTATAAGCGGATGGTAAGATTACGCGGCCAATCTAGCGATTCCCAATCGCCCTTGATTAGACATGCTGTTTCTCCACTTAACATTGTTTTCGGGCATTCCTCTACAATATGCCTAATAGTTTGAACCTGACCACGCTTGTAGAGAGGAGAGTCCACGATTCCCCATATATGCGTTAAATAATTGCACCTATCCTGTACGGTTCTTATACGGTTAAGAGAAGCCCGTATGACACGTGGATATTCAAAACCTGGAACTGATTGGGTTGGATCACTCGTGATTATTAAGTATCATTCCATCTCTCCATTGAGTATTCAATGGGTCTTCTGTTGTGTTAGTACTATTTTTTAACATCCATATAGGATGTCTAGATTTCAATCTTTCAACATACTATACGATCCAAGAATATTTTTCTCGTTTTATCTGTTAAACCTACTAATACCTAATCTATATGGCTATTTCTTATCCGACTCGATCGCATCAAACATATCCTTAACAACATTATCATTCTTATTTCCAGAACAATTATTTTACGTTAATTTCCTTAATTCAACGTTCAACAGTCAGACCAGTACATTGTCACTTGCTTCGCAACAATTTCATACACATTTTTCACGCCTTTTAATCACACAACATTATAGCTGTCGCTTTTTTCCACTTTATTTTTATCAGCCACATTAAATTCTACTTAATGCGTTCTAAAATAAATATAATACCTAAGTATCATTACTTTGAAAATTATATTTTATCTTCATGTAGCCCACCTAGTATTTCGTGATTGTAAATTTACAAAAAAAAAAAAAATTCATAAAATATATTACGGTTCAACAATTAATTACAGCGCATCATAAAAAAAAATCATGTTGGATCGAATTCTCTGCTTTAGATTAATTCGCTCGCGTGCGAACGTAAAACATTTTGATTTATTGCTGTTCTCCTGTTTTTTTTGTTTCGTGTGATATTGTATTAAACTAACGAAATTTCATTGATTATTCTTTTTCGTAAAAGTATGTGTGTTTCCTTTTCTTTATAAGCTCAAAAACATAATATTATTAATATATATATGATAGCCGATAGGTATCCCGAATTAAAATAACCCAATCAGTCCTTGTAATATTAAAAGGTAATATATATTGATATATAAACTGTCACTGAATTAATTTTACTATGACTGTGCTTTTTTTATTTTTTTTTTTTTTTTTTTTTTTTTGTCTCTGTTAACAACTACCAGACTTCATCCAATCAAAAATGACAAAATTCTTTTTTTTGTTGCTTTTGGATCTAGTTGGTAAATTTAAGAAGTAATATACTAATTTTTCAAGTGGTTTTCATAATAATTAGGAAAAAACGTATAGGAAAACTCTGACCAGCATTAACGGCGCCGCGTCATAACCTATTCCATTATATTACATTTGTATGATTTTAGTATTTTACCAGAAATTAAAGTTTTTTGTTAAAAATAATTGTAGAGAGTTGAAATTTTCTCAAAATACTTATATTGGCTGTTTCTAGGTGTGGTACATTTGTCAAAACATAATGTCAATTTTTTGGTTTGTATTTTGTATATATTTTATAAAAGTAAAATTGTTCGGTCGAGCAAAAATGTTTGAAATTTAATACGAGATTCATTATAAGTTGTACTTAGTGGTAGAAATTACCGTATTTTAAAACTTGTTTGACCTGCTCGAAATCGGATTTCATTATCAATAGTTTATCGTTGTATATTGATATAAATTAAATAACTCTATGTATCTTTTATCTTTTCAACTCCTCCCTCCCAACAATTCATGTTGTAATTCGGTTAAAAATAATCGTATAGATCTAAAATTTGCTCATAATACTACACTAATTACTATACTTTTACATTACCTCTTCCTAAATGTTTTACAATTTTCAGAAGATTTGAGTTTTTCTAAACTCGGTACTGTCAAGTTTTACACATTTTTAAATACTTAGTTTAAATGGCAGATGAGAATAAATATAATATTTTGTTAATTTTCGAGCGTTCGCGGTTTATTATCGTGTAGTTTGTACTCATGCAAAACTTAAATTACTTTTACTTCATCATATAAATTACTGCATAATTAACTAGACGAGACAACGTAGTCTAAAATTTAATTTACTGCTCGTTTAGTAATTTGTTACTATGATTGCGTAACGATGTAACAGAAATAACAAACGTCCTGTTTGAGTTATAATTACTAAACTCAATAACGAGAGCCGTCGAGATTTTGGTACGTCGTCGTTCAAAGATACGTTCGATTTTAACGAACCGGTCATACGAAGTGGTGAGAACCCGGGGGCGTTTCTAATAGCTAGAGCTCGGACATAAATACTCTAAAAACGAATAAAAACTTTTGACAAATGCTCTTTAAATGGAATAACAGCTAAACATGGAAAATATAAGTTACACTTTTTCAGTTGTTGTATTTTGTCAACGGCAGCCATTAATAAAGACAAGACAATTTTTGCGAAATTATAAATAGAACGATTGACAATTATTCTTGACGAATAGCCCCCAAACCTGATTAAAATAAATTTTATGAATACACAATACAAATTTAATTTTAAACAACATGCTTTTACGTACTATTTTATTATTCGTGATACACATAAAACTAACTAAAAGACCGAAAAATGCCATATAAAATTTTAACTTTTCACGTATCTGATAATATCACACAAATCGAACTATGCACTTGGAACTACATAATTGGTAGTAAGGACTTTCTTAGATCACCCAAGCAAAATAATGTACTTTTCGTGGAAATCCAGGCCCCGCCAATAATCAACATTTTACTCCGAACTTATATTATTTACGGTACCGAGATATTTTAGCCTCGCGAGTAACAATCTGTTATCATTATTGTTCATGCATAGTAATTCTTATGTTCTAAAAAGCGATGGGTTTCTATAATTTGTTTATATTGTGTGCCTACGTGCGATTTATTTCCGTTTCTCGGCAAACAATTTCTGGGGCAGTCAAAATTAAAAATGGTAGGTATAAACAAATTGCATTTAGCAGCTTTACACGGTGATTCATTAAGCAACCTATTTTGATCATTAAATTATGCATGTATTCAAATTCTGATTTTGGAGTTTTTAAGTATAGTTAAAGCCGATATTTTCAAATACTCAGATTTCCCACAACACCTAAAGTTTATCCTGTGGTGATATCAACTTTTGTTTTTCAAATGAGAACCTAAGTGTTTTAATGCGAATTCAGGTGATTTTTCTGAAAATGTCGACGTATTTGTAATCGAAATCTGAACAAAAAGTTTCCGAGTTATTCTACTTTAAAATACTTAAGATAACACTAAAAAAGTATAAGTTTTGTGGCACCTAGGCGATTGATGTTTTATATAGTGCTGCACTATTCTCCAATCCAAACTTAAAAGTGAAATATCTCGTCAACGGGTTGGCAGAATTCAAACATATCAACAACAACATTTATTTGAACTTGTATTGACAATACTGCATCTATTTATGACATTTTTAATAAACTTTTGAATAACCAAAATAGGTATTGCAAATACTGTTGAAAATCTGAGTATTCGAAAATAATGGCGTTAACTACACTTCAAAATTCCAAATATCAGAATTAAATTATCAAAATAGGTTGTGCATACTCAATTAATCACTCTGGATAGCCGATTAAATTGAAAATATTTCCGAAAACGTTATTTCTGGGAATATTTGTGACGTGTATGCATTATGTATACATGAACGGATGAAACGTTAGGGTATTCGTTTCGCGCGTCTAAAGTTATGTCGCGGCAAAGAAAACTCCTTTTCGCTTGCCGGTAAAAAAAAAAAGAAATCTCTCCCAAATGAGACCGTCACGCGCGAGACTAAGTGGGGGGACACGCGAAGTGAATTTCGAAATCCTGTACCAAATTGGATCGTATACAAGATTATTATATCGGCGAAAGTCTGCACTAGAATATCCATTTACAGAAGAAAATCGGTAACACTAGTATTATTGTGTGTTTATGGATTTATTATAATTTGATAAGAATAAATTTTAATACAAAACTAGTCGATACTGTTTACGGGTGGTCCATTGTTGTAGATGGGTAGTTTGAAAGTTAAGATATACGTTATACATGGCAATTTAGTTTACTTTTCGTTTACAACGATAAAACATTGAAAATGAAGAAACGTTTCAGAGCAGAGTAGTATTAAATGGGTTTCAAGTTAAACTAAAAATCAACAAAAGTCTAAAAACTCAAAAAAAAAACAAAAAGGGAAAAACTGCTGGAAGTGTCGATAAATGTTTTACATAAAGTACCACTGGCAAAATCTTAGTAAAACTAATAGCTTCTTCAGAATCTAAAAGTAAATGCATTTGTATAATCTCTATCTACTGTGTAGAGAAGAGCCCAACCTAATCTTCTCTGCATCGCGATTTTACTTATCCTAACCTAATACCTAACCGGTGGTGATTTTATGGATTTAATCCTCCCCCCTTCCGCCATGAAATGTTTTCCTGCAATCATCTCCGAAATCTAACCCAACCTAATCTGTATTTCTACAGGTACGTGGCCGTGGTGCACCCGCAGATCAACAGAATATGGTGTCGGATGGAAACCACGCTGTCGGCGATCGCCCTGGGTTACGTGGTGTGCCCTGTCATCTGCATACCTAGCTACCTATCGTTCAACTTGTTCTCCAGAGTGGAGGTTCTGGACGCAGCCGGAAACCGGCCGGTAGGGTCGACCCTAGCTGCAGAGAGTAACATTACCCATGGCGGCGTCGTCGTCGGCGGTTCCACGCTCAACGGCGTGGAGCCACTGCGCAACGTAACCCTGTACTACGTGAACGTTAGTGATCTGGCCACGACCACATACTTGGCTGACATTAATTTTTGGGTGTACAGCGTGGTGATAAAGATCATACCGTGCGTAGCGCTTACGGTACTCAGTCTGCGTCTGATATGCGCGCTGTTGGAGGCTAAACAACGCAGGGCCAAGTTGACGGGTAGTGGACGAAAGTCGGCCGACAAGGAGCGGCAAACCGACCGAACTACCCGGATGCTATTGGCGGTGCTCATGTTGTTTCTGATTACCGAGTTCCCACAGGGCATACTCGGCTTGCTCACCCTGCTCCTGGGCAAGCGGTTCTTCACGGACTGCTACCAGAACATGGGTGAGGTCATGGACATGCTGGCTCTGGTCAACTCAGCCATCAACTTCATACTATACTGCGTCATGAGCAGACAGTTCCGCAATACGTTCAGCCTGCTCTTTCTGCCGTCTTGGATATCCAAGACCGAGTCACAGGCCATGTCTCACGGTGGCAATCCGACCACCACGCAAGTCACGCAAGTCTAGGGTTGCGCATGCGCATTTACACGCATACATACACGCGTACACACACACATAAATAAATATTTTTGGGTCTTGTATAAGTACTTATATTATTATGACTCTGTTATATTGTATTTATATTATAAAACGATCATACAGGGTTTTAATTTTTGTTCTACATCATGCTGTTTTTCAAAACGAGAGTACTAATTCGTTGTTTTGTTTGTTTTTTTTTTTTTTTTTGTATCATATAATAATCGGTTTGTCTTGCATTATTGGAGCATATATTATACGGTTATTGAAATCCCACAATAGAAGACGAGTTTTAAATATTTGACTAGGTATATACAAGAATATATTTTCCATATTTTTTTTTTCTCTTTATGTATTATTATTTAACTGTAAGTCCCTCAAAAAAAAAAAAAAAAATTCGACTATTAGCTTTATTAATTTGTATAGGTGTAACACTAATCGGTTACAGAGTTAGTTTTTGTTGTACCCATATATACACTAGTTTGGCCTATATACAGAATTCTGTACTTGAACTTTTCATATTGTTGTCTGTAGTGTTCCCAATCAACAAACTAATTCGAAACTTACCTGATTACATTTCCCGAATATCTTCCTAAACAAACCCAATCTAACAATAGCAAGCAAAATCAATAGTTGTAACATTGTGAAAACAAGTTGCTACCACCAATATAAGTATTAAGTTTAATTTTTAATTTAATTAAGTCTCTCTTCTAATGGTATGATTACTCTCTAAGTTTTGTGGCCATCATAACATTTTTATCTATCTTAAACTGCCTTTATACAGTTTTTAAATCCCAGACTTTATAAATCCTCCTACCCCACGTCAATCTACCTTCTCCTTGGTTTTCTTTTAGATATTTTTCTTTGAGATTTCCACTCCATAACTGCCCTAACTGTCTCGTCATTACCTATGGTTGTTATCTGGCTAATCCATTTAATTCTTTGGCCCTATTTGATGTTAATTCTAGCATATCGCACAGCGTTTTATTGTATCTCCTTGTTATTTCCTCAGGTCCACATATACTTTCCTCTAGTTTATTAAATTAATGTCGTAAAAAAAAATGTTTTTAACCATACTTGTATTTTGTCAGGCTAGATAAATTACCTATACAAACAGTATTAAGTCTAATAATAAATGTGAAGAAAATATCTCACTTGTATCACTTGTAAGAACCCACGAACCAAATTAGTGCAGCAGACACTATCCAAATTAATTCGGTATAATTGAATTGACTAGGTTTCATTATACCTATTGAATTTCTCAACCTTAGTTTCGTAATTATATTAGTACAAAGGTTCCATTTCTATAATAATATTTTCGTATATTATCAAAATGATCGTTTTTACATTTTTTTTTTTTTTCATCTGTTTTCAATTCGATAAATTAAGAAACAAAATGAAATTTCATATAGACGATAGTCATATGATGATTAATCTATTAATTAAAATATTTCGTGGGTAGTATTTTGCCGTGTTAAATGAGATGAGGAATATAAAACAAAATATTAACTTTAACAAAATAAATCTCGACGTTTATTAACAAAAAAAACTGCAAAGCATACAAATTAAAACGAGTTTCTGGCATAGTAAAGAGTAGAAAAAAACTAGATTACTTATATTTTATAAACGTCCATAAATATATTATAGAATCATATGAAATTCTTATCGTTGATAAGCACAGTCAACTACAGAGTATATATAAAATTAAAACAACATTATACAATTTCAAAATTAACTTAAATTGCCAAATCTCAAAATTATGCATTGTAGATGTTATGCATTTGTGATAACCGCTTTTTGAAAAATATTGTTTCTTGACATAATTTAATATAGGAGCCACTTAAACAATACGTTTTTCGGGAGTCAATTCTGCAGCAAAGGTCGGTGGAGAATAGGCTTGATTTTGGGGTAACCGTCTCAATCGTCATCAGTCGGGTCGCCAATTAATTTGGGACCTGACTTTAATTATACGTAGTGTACTGCCTGTATACAAAAACCACAAGGGTCACAACTCGGATGCAGCCGTCCCACCGGTCACGCCGTATAAAATATTATTGCCGGGTCTGGCCGCTCTTTGAAATCCACTCTCTCGAGACCGCGTTTATTATTATACTTGTTCGTCGCGCGCAAAACACCGTTTAGACGGCTCCGTTTAAAAAACAAAAACGCTTTCCCTTGCTCGACAAACATTGTTTCCTAGCAAGGTTCGTATAATACTGTTATATAATATATTATATTTGTTGATGTCGAGAAAAAAAAAAAAACTGTACAGATATCGGTATAAGATAACAGAATATGTATAATAATATATATATATTTTATTTACACTGTTGATTAAGACGCTTAGGTTTTATAATCCATAATAATATTGCATTATATTGTATGATGTACTATCGACAGCTAATAAAATGTATTATAATATGTAGTTTTTTTTTTATCGCGGTGGACGGCTTTCGACGGCCGTGTGACTCGGCGATTTCAAACAAAATAATATTTCAACCGATCGTGCAGTTAAACCGGGTTGTGTCGGGTTTATATTGGTAGATTTTTCCGGAGAGTACACTAGCCTACTATTCACCGCACTCAATCTGCTCTACTACACACTAGGATAGTATAGCGATATAGTGGAGTGTACTCTACCACGGTGGTATAGTATACTCTACTCTACCATTAATTCACTACACCGATTAATCTATTCAATACCCGTACACTCGCAAATAATCTAACAATGTAAACCCGGCTTAACGCGATCATAATATTTCGATAGATACCGGCCTTCTCCCCGTATAGTTATTGTGAACATAATCAAAATAATTATGTCGAAACAATCACAACGGAAAATCTCTTAAATCAACTTTAACTATACGTATATAATGGGGAATGAGAGTTTTCGTTGATGTTCGCAATATAAGAGGAAACAAAACCGCAATATGGTGAAAATATTATTTTCGTTGGTGGTTTTATAACATAATAAAAATATACGGGGAACGGGGATACCTAAATTTTGTTTTATTTTTTTGTTTTGTTATTGATATCTGCCATCAGGTTTATTTTTCGGATAACCAAAACCAAAGTAATAATTTCATTTTCATCCCTATTTCAGATAACAAAGGGCACGGGAACGGCGAATAAATATGGATTTAAAAAAACAAAAACGAATTTAAAGTGGCGGTTTAGGTATACTCACCGGGATAATTTCTGAAAGCGTACGTCATACGTTTTGACAACTAAAACTACCAGCGAAAATAATGTGTTTCACCTTTCTTGCGTTATTTAATTTTATAATTTTACTTTTATCGTCTCCAGAAAGCCACTCGTTTGAAACATAACATTATGTTTGATGAACTCGTTGCATATGAGTCGACGACAAACTGTCCGAAGCTGTGAGCCTAAATCGTATCTTACTCGTGTGTGCATAATAAAAAATAATATTACTGTTAAACATTAAGTTACGAAAATTGTAAACTTTTTTTTTGTTTTTGGGCTATGTGAAATAATAATAATATTCATACATAAATAATAACATTATTATTAATTATTATATATATTATTAGTTTGAAATAATTATATTTTGGTGTATGAGATCTTATATCTCGTCAATATACAGCTATCAGAAAAACGATAAGGGGCCGAGCACAACGTGTCACTGTTGTCAATCATCACACACCAAAATGCCATAATTTCGTATTTTGGTTCTTGTGCGTTATAGTGACTTCGACACGGGACATTATTACTTCACAAAAGAAACTCGCCATCCGAGAAGGCATCATCCGGTGATCCCTTCTTTTTTTCCATCATCTGACGTGGTTTTTCAACAACAAAATGTTTTCGGTTTTCACAATTCACTTATTAGGACGTCAACTTAGTTCTCGGTTACTGCGGGCTGCTGTATAATAACTACGATTCCCTTCCCATTTTTCTGAAAACTGTATATTATAGTTATCCATTATCAAGTCTCACGTTTTATAATAATATTTTAATATCGATAAGCGAATTTTTTGTTATCATCTATTTGTTTTATTATTTTATAACCAAACATTTCGTAGCACGGTTTACCTGTCTCTCCGTGGGGATAAAAACGTTACTCGTAATGTACCAGATAATTGTGATGATCCCCATGTGTTTAAGCAAATCATAGTCACTCACGAGTTAAATATCTGTAAATATAAAAAAAAAGTTTAAAAAAAATGTCATTACAATTTGTGTGCGATTGTAAATAATAAACGATACATTTGTGCGCTTTTAATTTATTTTTCATTCATAAAGTTCTCATCATTCCCCGCAAAGTAACTTTTACCTCTATTATGTACTATATAATATTGGTACCATAAAACACACTGTCAACGGTGAAAAATGTGTTGTTTTTTTTTATACTGTGTAAAAAACCAAATTATAACGGTTCGAATATTGAGCAAAACTTTTCGTATTTGTTTTTACAACTATGGTTGTTTTTTTATGATAAAAGACGATAAACAAAGGACTGTTAAAAGTACCCCACAAATCACGTATTGCCGTTTGTATGTGATTTAAAATGGTTGGTAAAAAAAAAAAATATGTAATTTATTTATTCTAATCCATATTTACTATATTGAAATAATTGTATTGTGTCATAAACTGCAGAATGATTGGTTTGAGCACGCTCTCCACATTTCTATGCCTAAAATATATTTCAGAAAAGTTAGTTAAACAATTATGAGTACAAAAAAAAAAAATGGCGTTCTTAAAAGTTTATTCCTGAATATTTGTATTAAACACTTGAAGTATTGGAAAATATAGTCTTTATTAGACTTTTTGTGTTTATTCTCCCAAACAAGACTTAAACTTAAGTTCTACAAGAGAAATTTACTATATTATGTATTTCGGTATGTCGGGCGGTAAACTGAAATATTGAACAGAGAACGAGAATAGTCAGATGGATGAATAGTGTGGGTGTGGAAAGAGAGGAAGAGGAAGAGCGAAAGATAGATGGTTCGATGCGATTGAAAATGATACAAAGACGGTGGGTGTATGCAATAAAGATATGGGAGATCGGGTCGAGTAGAATTTAAAGATGTGGGCGGTTAACCTTCCCAATAGTTGGGATGAAGGCGTAAGAGAATAAAAATATAGTCTTCATTAGGTACATATATTAACGTGCGTTATTCAAATATAACAAAATTTGAATAAATCCGATAGTTGCGCCAAAATCATGGAACGAACACGCTTAAAACATATCACTCGTCTGCATTGATGTATAGGTACGTGTAGTAAGACCGTAACGATAGAAAAACGCACGCAGTCGTTCACGTTCTATGAGATGTACTCTATAACAGAAAACAACAAATTTGAAACGTTCCGAGAGTTCGGCTGGAGACGGTTACTCCTGTACTCGGCCGAGGAGATTATTTACAAGCGTTATTATCATTGGCGACAATCGATGAACAGGCGAATAACAATTTATTAGCCCAATAGTGCTATCTGCTCCGGAGAATATAATATACGCGTTATCGGAATACCGTTAAAATGTCGAATTTCCGGTAAGGTAACATTTTGACTGTTTCGAGAATATCGCGGTTCGGAATGTTTTTACGGCGTGGAGGACAACCAACAAAAATATTACAATAATGCAGGGCGTTTAATTACTTTTTTTTTTTGTACATTTATTGTTATTAACGCTTTTAGTCGGCGGGTCTTGTGAAACGGAATACATATATATTTATATATACGTGCATTTTTTTTTTTCAAACTGACGTTTTTACCCGGAAAATATTTTGATTTTATTTTTTTTTTTTTAATTGGCGTTTTCAGAATAATAATATAATGTTGTGTATTAATGTTATAATAATGATATCCGGTCTCCTGGACGTCGAAGAAATTTGTTTTGCCTACCGCCGACGCCGTGCCGTATTACGTTTGAACGACGTGGTTTATAAGCTCGTCTAGATAAAAGAGGAGGAAATCCGGTCATAACCTCTTTCTACCTACCATGATACATTTTCAATACGCCATGAAAATTTTTACAGGATATATAATATTTTATATATACACTATAGATATGCATAAGTGCATATGAACGTATAATGTTACGTTCTTCAATTTTGATGAAAATTTTAAATGTTTGTTTTAGTTGTTGGCGATAAAATCATTCGCGGTACGCGTGGGCTCCTATAGTAATAAATGCAGGTAAGTTCCCGAATGAAATTCCATAAGTTCTCCACAAGAAAATCCTAGCCACGCGCCCGTGATGGTTTACCGTAATATTTTAAAGTGATCGGGTTCGAGTGTAAACACCATTTATACCAGGTCAATTTAAAATAGCGAATTCCCGTGTGTAAAAACAACCGGCGGTTAATGTCACTTGTTTGTGAACACACACACACACACAAGCGCGTATGTATTTAAAAATTAAATTTACCAAAACAAAATATACGAACATCATTTCTCGCTTGAGCGTATTTTCACTTAACGCACAACTCGTTTGTGTAAAATAGTACAGTCAATTTGTTTAAAAATTAAAATCCGAATGTATATAGATGCGCATTTTTTTTATTTTCTAACCGCCTACCTTTGTAGATCTTTTTTAAAATATTGGTGCACGTGATATTATTATAATTTATAATAGACGTAAGGAAAGTAACGTCTTAGAACTAACTAATAACGTTTTGGACACTAAGTAAAACAAATTGTTTTCACGGTTGTTCCAACAATGAATTTGCTATCGAAAAAATCGTTTTTTGAACGAGTGCATGGATCTTACCAACGCCTTCTTCATAACATCGAAAAATCGCAAACCACTAATTTTTTATATTTTTAACGTTTTAATAACGGGTATCATTCCATCGATCATTAACAGGTTGTTTTTAATCGTCAAGAGGTTTTTTTGATTTTTTTTTTTTTTACGAACTACCTACTGTAAAATTAGTTCAGTGCGTGTTTAAAATACGTAGAAAATGACACGAAATGTTATTTATTTTTTTTATTTTTACAAGTAGTATATAGATGATATTTTATCTGCGCGGTGATATGTTGTAAATAACGGATAGTCAGCTGTGCGGCTGTAACTCAATTTGATAACAGTCGGAAAATTCATCCATTATCATCACCCTCGTGATAATTCGGTTATTCGTACGGACAGTCCTCGACTTTCGTGAGTATAAGCGAGTGTACGCCTCGTTGTTCATTTTCGTTTTGTACTTTTCACGGTACGGCTATCCCACAAACACACACGTGTGTTATATAACCCCCTCCGTATCATCTTTAGAAAGCTTAATACGATTTGTGCGGGTCGATGACACAGCATTATAGTCACCGGGGAAATGAGGTGTCCACCCACTCGAATACACGCGTCAGGTATATCTAACTATTCAGAAAGGTCGAAAATCTAAAAGTCGCAAAACTTCTCAATCGGTCCCGCGCGTGCACGGGGGTCCAATATATTAAAAAAATACAAAAATACCGATTACTTACGGCGATAACCGGTCGATTCATACGTAAACACACCTTTCGATTTATATGCGGAAGGAAATTGCTGACTCGCAGTATTCACAAAAATTCCGAACGATGATTCTCCGTGGTCGTCGTTCCGTTCTTGTTTAGTACTTAATGTAAAAAGGTCACAAAAAGGCTATTATCTCCTTTCTGCTCGCGTATACAAGCCGATTCAAGTTCGGTCCTTGTATTATTTGTTCACTCGCTCGTCATATAGAGACAATAATATTATGTACCCGCAATATAGATCTCTCTAAATCCTATTGGTTATGTCTAACGGATGTCCAGTGTTCTCTAGCCGCCGTATTTACTAAAAATCATTGTATTACGTCCATGTAAGGCCATTATTTTTTATTATAGGATCTTCATTGCAGATTGAACGCAATGTCCAATGGAAATTATATTGAGCTTTGTAGCTAATGTAGTGTATTTAATAAAAAAATAATACCCCGTCCACCGCATGATTAAAACTAAACGTTCTAAAAACTTGCTCTCCTTTCGGCTTGTTGACCGCCTCCGGCATTCCCGTGACTTTATTTCTTTCTCCTCGATATAATTTTTGGTTCCGCTGACTATCCTATCTTATTCTTTCCTTCGTTAAATACGAAAATTCCTTTGTGTTGTACCCGATTTAAATCACGATTCCGCATAATATATAATACTATGTACACCGTAATTCATAAAAAAAAACATCCAATAAACCGAAATGAAACACATCTAACCCGATAATAATATATTATAGTACACAAGGTAATTATTTTACCACGGTCCATTACTATTTACCATATTTTCTCGATTATTTATTACCTCTTATTAATTCTGTTCCTTAAACATGTGGAATATACGTCTCCAGTCTAACTGCTTTGTAACTCTTCAACATTGAATTCAATATAAGTGTTGCGTACATTAACATTTTTTCGAGTTTGTGCTGAAAAGGGGAAGGGGCTGCCGTTTGAAGTCAAAAGTCAATATTTATTTAATGCATATAACGCGAGTAAAGGTTCAGCAAATTGAAAATCAAATTTACTCAAAGTCCTCCTAGCGAATCGCTGGACCGCGATAAAAGTATCACCCTGTACACAATACAATAATATATACAACTATAAACTGATAATACGGGTGTAAATTTTGACCTCGTAAAATCGTTTACGAGGGAATCTTTTTTTTTTTTGCTTTCGGTAAACTAAAAAAATAAATAAATTACATTTACGATAGATCGTATACCCACACGCGTATGAAACTAATGTTTCCACGTCTCGGGAATTAAGTACGTTCGCGATTAAACACACTAGATTTGAATGTAGCCCGTTCGTAGTATTAAAATTTGTTGCCGTTTTGACAGGGAAACTCGTTTAATGTGCGTATTTTCTATAATAATATATTATAATACAACACCCTCAGTATAAACGAAAAAATGACGGTTTGCGGATTAAAAAAATAAAAACTCCGTCCATATTATTCACGATGACGTGTATTGTATATAAGCGGTGAACAGACGTTTCTAAACTGTTTAAATAACCGTATGACGGGGGGAGATGACGAAATTGAATAATTCACTTTGAAAATTCGTGTCTACCAATAAATATATATTAAATGATGATTTAATCGTACTATCGCATTATTTTCAGCTCGAATGTTTTCCTCAAAACGAAAAAATATCTCGACGGACTTTTATTTCATTATAATATTGTATAGAAAGATTCTTTTATTACGAACCTGTGATTTTTTCGGAGGATTTTAATTAATATATTTTACTAGTGTTTTTTTTATTTT